CTCAGTCTTTTAGCACAAAAGCACGTATAAAGCCATCAAGGGCATATTTTAGACCCTTTTTCCAAGAATCTTGTTATAAAATGAGTCAGCTGGAAACATGAAAAGTCAGCCAGACTCGTGGGGATAGCTTAATTAGCTCCTAGCTACAGCTGATTAAATGTGCCAGTGGCAGTTGCCATTTCAGCCAGTAAAACCCATGACAGCCAGCTAGAAACCTACTTCAGTCTACTTCTGTTTGAAGTCATGGACCCATTGTTTCAAAGAGATGAAGCTACCATTGTTATCTGCAGGTGTGCAGTACATGAATGGACAGCTTGACAGGCATAGTACAGTAACAGTAACTATGGGGGAAGGAGCTCAGCAAATGGTCAGTTACTTTGGTAAGTACAATATTACCATAAGGAATGCAAAATAAGACCCATGTTGTAATAAACTGGAATACTCTTGAGACTGCCCAATGATATGAATGACTACCCCTCGATATATTATGTACCAACTTACATGTAAAATTAATTCTAACTAGGTAAGATAACAGAATATAATGCAGCCAATCTTCTGCGATACGTTTCTTTTATGGCAGTTGTACTGTAATGTTGTAATAAGGTAATGTGGTGTTGATTTTAATGGTTCACTGCACCTTCCACTGACAATAAACTCCATATCAGATTTACCATACACTCTTTTATATGAGTTGCTATCACAGTCTTGTTGTAAGTTCTGATGAAAGTAACCAGCCAGGCTTTTAAAAAGTGACATTTTCATTGTGGAATAACTGACTGTCCTACACACTCCCGCCTGTAATTTGGCATCAGCTAAGAGCAATAAGTAAATTAACAGAGGAGCGTGGCTAATATTTTATTAGCCTTGTTAACCTGTTTTTGTAATCCCTGTAAAAAGGCGTTTGTGTTTGCTTCCCCTCACTTTATCTCTAGTTAGTTGAAAACGCCTGGTCAACTGAGCGTCCAAGTGACCCAGAGTAGGAGCTGCCTTTCCCCTCTGTGCACTGCTAATGACATGAAAATAAACACAGGAAACGGCCAACCCAAGCTCCCTGCAATTAGGTCACCGTCACACACAAACACATTGTGCTGCTGACTACATCATGTTTTATATATGTACGGTAAAGGCTGCAGCTGTTACAAGACAGGCTTAATGGAGAGTGAGAGGTGGACAGAAAGACTTAGTCCTCTAGTTTTATGACGTGGTCCAAACTACAATGGGCTGGGGGAAAGACCAGCAGCAATATGTGCAAAGCTGGAACTAATAGAACTAAAAAGTTGAGGTGGATTAAAAATAATAGTGTGGGTTAACAGCTAACTCAGCTACTGATATCATGAACAAAATGACTTAGATCCATCAACCTCCAGACAAACAAATCATGTAGAACTATAGCTCCTGGCAGTCTGTATCCCACTAAATATTCATGCCTAATGAAGCTACCATCCAAGTTAAAGTTTAAAAAACAAACAAACATAATGATTTATTATTTATTGGGAGTTTGTTTGTTATATTTTCAAAAAATCTAACCAGTGGGTGGAAAACACTATCACAAAATTTGGAACTAACAAGCCTGGTAAAATATTCTTGTTTAATTCCTGTTGGAATTTACAATGTATCTGGTAGACTGAGTGGCTTTTTTTCCTTTTCATTTCATCATTTCAAACATCACTATCAAATTTAAAAAAATTCTGTACAGCAACTCTGTCATCAGAAATGTGTATATGATGACAGAGTTCCTTGTCACTTTATTCATTAAGAGCTGAAACCTTTAGTCGAATGACCCAGTTAAGCAAAATAAATTAGATTTCAATCATTTTAATAATCAATTAATAATTTAAGTCACTTGTCAAGCAAAAAACAACAAATATTTTCTGCTTCCAGCTTCAACATTGAGATTTGTTACTCTGTAGCTCAAATTCAACATGTTTGAGTTACTACCAACTTTATTTTAGTTTTTGTCATATGTTCTGTTGTAGTTATACTCAACAGTTTATGATGTTTATGAATTTCTCCATAAAATGAAATCAAAGTTAGCAAAAAAGCATTCTTAATCATTATTTCTTAAGAGTTTAACACTAAAAAGCTCAGTTAAGCTGCTTCATCAGGAGGTGAGTGTGATTTGATGGGGATCAATTGACAGTGCAACATAAACACATGAGCCTGCACTTGGACCTGGACTCTTATTAGTGCACAAGAGTGTGTGACATCATCTTTTTCCAACTGAGCCACACCCACTTCAAACCAGTGGAAAGAGCAAGAGCAAAGAGCAAAGAGCAAAAACACAAATACACATCTCTCTCCTATAACATTTCTTAATTTAGGGTCTTTATTTACATTTTATTCTACGGATTACGTATAT